AATTAATAACAGTGTTCTATAGGAATAGCAGAATTAGAAAATTAATGAAAGGGAGACAGAGTCAACATACTATTAGGAGAATTGAAGAACCAAAGAGGGAATGGGAAATATCAAATGAGAAAAACACTGTCACTACACTGTCATAGCAAAGGGGAATATTCCAGTGTAAGGGAATATTCCATTGCTTAATTAACTGCACTAATTAGTAAGTCTCTTGGGTTGCTTATTATGTAGGACTGGTAACTAGGGATTATGAAATTGGAGTTATGCATAAAGATATAATCCACAGTTTTGTAGACACATGGACCCAATGCTGGCACAGTGCTGTACATGTAATAGTATATCTAAGGCCACTTTTCCACTAGACAGCAATCACCAAGTGCCCAAAATTGGATTTACATGTATGTGACACTTGATTTTATAATTGGTATATGAGGCAAGCTGAAAAGGTGTGATTCAAAAGACAACAAAACATGCAAACCATTTTTAAAAATTGCAATTCATGGAGCGATCTGTCAAATCTTTAGTTACAAAGGGCAAACAATACCTGCAGCATTTCACATAATCCTCCATTATATGACATGACTGTGTGTCATCCTATGGCATTGTGCAGTGAAAACAGATATGCTTGACGATCCAGCCTTGGGCCTTTCTCAAAGATGTCATGACATCTGCTGTTCAAGAGGTCTTGTAGACTACTGCACTACTGTGACTTGTGCACATATCAAATACTTTATAATATCCTTTATGTTGTCTATACATAAGTATGGGATTTTTTTATTTTTTATTTATTTATTTCAAACACCAAAAGCAAACCTTGCAGCAGGGATGAGAATCCCTGAATTGAAAGAGTTTGCGTACAGAAAAAAAAGTTACAATAGGCAAGGCAAACAATATATACACACCCTCATGTACACTTTAATACATAAAAAATTTGTACCAAGCAAAAAAACTATATACAGATGAGGTTTAGGAAAGATAAAATTAGTGATATGTCAGTTCTTTGTTGTATAGGGCTATGGCCCTGTATGTCCAAGGCATCTTGAGCTTCTTCTGAACATCCTCCTCTCATTCATCTCCAAAGGTATCAAACATCATATGGAGGGTCTAATTACTCTTAATGCATATAGAGCAAACATCACAAACTTCAGTTACATTACTCATCTGATCAATCAAAGTGAAAAAATCTTTATTCTTGATAAAGCAAGGATCTTTCAAAGTCATTCTTCATTCATATATATACAATGTACCAGTTCTTGTGACTGTTCCATTGTGAGTGAAATTGGTGTTGTAAAAATGCTATGGATAAGGAAAATCATTTAGCTATTAAAATTCATTTGGGTATACCATGCTGTGATATAGGCCCCTATGTTTTCAACCAGTGTAGTGGTGTTTCTTTCTGGAGAGAACCCTTTGAGCCTTCCTAAATCTTCCGGGAGAGGATGCAAGACCCCTTACTGTCCTCAACACTCTTGCACCTCATAAAGTTGGCCTTCCATACGCAGTGGGAAAAATTCTGGTGAGAACCCTGGCTGTGATCTGTATTCCATATTTGTGCCTTGGGAATCCACACACATTACCCAGAGGTACAACCTTCTCCAATAGCTGTGTATCATCGGTCCATTTCTGGCTGGTGACGCACATATACATACATGATATAAACACTGATAGTCTTAGACCATGAAACTTGGTACACGAAGCTCCTGTTCTTATCTGTCTCTTAAGTAATCCTGGTCATCCTTCATCGTAATACTCCATAGGCCCTGCTGTCATGTCTATTGCAGGGCTCAAGATGATGACCCAGAAACTTGAAAGATGATCACG